ACACATGACCCATGGGGCCCCGGTGTGAAATTTGATCTGTGCCCCCCCCAGCACTTACTCTGCGCGGGCCAGGGCCGCAACAAATGGCGGCGGGCACCGGGTCGCAGGGCTGCGACCGCGGTATGTACGCCAGTGCATGCAGATGTGCGCGCACACACACTTAAAGAGACTTGTGTCCCTCAAGTTCAGCCTTCCTCACATATGTTGTTGCTGTAGATCCAAAAGAAGGCAAAAAGCCTAGTCTGAAGTGCTTCCAATTTTGCCACAAACTAGGAAAAAATTCCTTCTTGACCCCAAAATAGCAGTCAGATGTCTCCTTGGATCAAGCAGCTATTACCCCACTAATTAGAAATTATATCCCTGTATGTTATGTTTTTGTAAGTATTTATCCAATTTCAGTTTAAACCTCTGTTGTGACTCTGACAAAACCACCTCTTCAGCAGAGAATTCCATATCCTTATTGCTCTTACTGTAAAAAAATACCTTTTCTTTGCCTTAGATGAAATCTCCTTTCTTCCAGCCTAAATGTGTGACCTCGTGTCCTATGTATAGCTCGGTTTATGAGGCAGACCAGGAGCACCTGATCACACTGTCCCTGCAGCAGTGATTGCTCTGATAGACTCACAATACACCTGCCTGCTCTTCCGTGGTCAGTGTGAAGTGCAGGGAGACGGATCAGTGCTGATCCTCTTCATCCCGTGTAAAAAATAAATAAATAAATAAATAAATAAATAAAGTAAGTTAAATCCCACCACCCTTTCCCCTGCTTTAATAAAATGAACCTCTTCCCTGCTAAATGATCACTGACTACAGTGATGAATTGGCAGGGACTACATTTTACTGTCACTTGGATTTATTTATTTTTCTACTGGGGAGTTAAATTTATTTTATTAATTTTTTTTTGTGAATATAATTTTTATTCATTTTGCATATATTAATGTTCGGTGAGACGCGCAGGTCTCCATTGTATGCTATTATAAAAGGTAACAAGTTAGGCTCGCAGGCCCCATCGCAGAAGGACTCGCAGGTCCCCATTTTCTGGTATTTACATTTGTTTGGGAATATAAATTAAATAACGTTTTCATGAACTGGGTGAACATTATGCCATGTAATCTTCCTTGAACCGGATTAATCAGTCCTTGATTAGGTGTCAGTGTTTGTAGGCTACCCTTATGGTCTCTGTCAACGGGCATCTCACAGGGCCCTGTGTCCTTAGCTATGTGGCATTGTCCGTGGTGGGCTTGTGTTTTCCCCTGTTATTACTATCGGTGTTTCCCGTGTTTAACCAGGGGTATGGTGATATTGCAGGTAGAGGGTATTCTTACATTGGGTGTGTGGATACTGCATTAGCCGTGTCATTGCCGGGCCTGTCCAGGGTTATCACAGGTGTTCGCATGTTTTGGCTTTGGGGTGACGTCCCGGGCTGGTCTGGACGTGTGTACCAGCTTGTGTTTATTGTTCGTTCTTAATTATGGTTTCCCTTATCGCTATGGGTGCGGTGGGGATGATTCAGTCAATGATGATGCTCGGGTATTTCAAAGGGAGTAGGGGGGGGGGGGAATGCGTCGGGGTGGGAAGAAAGGAAAAAGGGGGGGGGGTAGTTCCGTTCAGTTCGTCTGTCGGCCGTCTAGCGTCGTCTGGGGTGTGTGTTCTGAAATGCTATCTGTCTGTGTCGTGGTATCCGTTAGTGTTAGGCCTGAGTTCTAATTGGAACTCTTCTTTTGCCGTCTCTAGAATCCAGTGCGTCCAGATGCTCATGTAGGTAGTGGGTGTAGTGTTGGCCGTCATGGTCAGTTCCTCTATCGACCTTAGTTCTTCCATTTGGCTAAACCAGGTCGAAAGTGGGGGTGTAACTGTTTGTTTCCAGAATTGGGGGAGCACTCGTTTGGCCACGTTAAGTATTCTAATGGTCATGGATTTTTTGTATTTGGAGCGGGGAACTGTTGTGTGGTGTAGGAGCATCGCTGCCGGTTCCAGGGGGGGGGGCGCATCCGAAACTTCTCTAGCATTTTGTGTATCCTCTTCCAGTATGGTTGGATCAACGCGCAATCCCACCAGATGTGTTTCGTGGTGCCTACCTCTCGTTCACATCTCCAGCAGAGTCTGGAGTGGTCTGGGTTTACGTGGTGAAGGAGATGTGGTGTCCTATACCAATGTGTTAGAAGCTTGTAGGCCGTTTCCTGTGTTTTGCTGTGAGTGGAACAGTGGTGTGTAAGGTAGCAGATGGTTTCCCATTCTGCTTCTGTTAGCGTGTTACCCAGGGCTGTCTCCCATTTTCCCATGAAGAGTGGTGTCTCGGACGGGGTTTCTGATTGGAGCATGGAATATAAGAAGGACACTCCGTGTGGGAGCGGGTCTGGGTGTGAGCTGACCACTTCTATCGTGGTCTGGTCTCTGGCCAGTGCTGGTCCCTGCGGCAGGGAGTGGACGTAATTGGTCAGTTGGGCATGTCGGAAGCGGTGCATAAAGGTCAGGGGCGTCTCTCCCATCAAGTCCGTTAGTGTTTTACATTTCCCACCTTGGAGGAAGTGGTGTAGGCGTGGGGATCTGTCCGGGAGGATGTGTTTGAGGACTCCAGGGTCCAAACCCGGCGGGAAGTCCTCGTTGTGTGTCAGGGGCAGGAGGGGGGAGGGGTACGGTGCCATATTCCCCTTCTTTGCGGCCCTCCTCCAAACTCTCATGGTGTGTCTCGTGTATATGGACCTATCACCTCTATCGGTTGTGTCTCGGCCCCAGTGAAGGCCCGAGATCGGTCTGCCTGCTTCTGCCTCTTCCACCGTCTTCCATAGTTTGTGAACTCCGTCTTTAGACCACTCCATGATTCTCTGCAGGTGTGTGGCCACGTAGTACTGGTGGAAGTCTGGGAGGGCTAGTCCCCCTTTGTCTTTAGGACGTGTCAGTGTGGAAAATTTCACTCTGGGCCTCCCCCCGTTCCATACGTATTTTATCATTTCTTTTCTGAGTGTGTTAAAGAAGGGGCCCGGTATGACAATGGGGATGGCCTGGAAGAGGTATAAGAGGCGCGGAAGAAAGTTCATTTTTATGACCTGCACTCTCCCGAGCCACGATATGTGCGGGTAGGACCATTCCCTCAAGTCTCGTTGGAACGTGTGCAGTATAGTGGCGAAGTTGTCCCTATACAGGTCTCTGCTCTGCCTGGTCAGCCATATACCTAAGTACCTAATTTTATGTTCGGCCCATTGGAAGGGGAAGCTGCGTCGTAGAGGGACTGCGCGTGTGGCGGGGACGCTAACATTAAGGATGTAGGATTTGCCGTAATTAATTTTAAGGTTAGATATATCGCCAAATGTCCACAGGTCTTTCTGGATGTTTGGAAGGGTGATCTCGGGGGTTGGTCACCACAAAAAGTAGGTCATCCGCGTACGCCGCTACCTTGTGGTGTATTTGGCCTGTCTTCCGGCTCGTTATGTCTGGGTTGTGGCGGATGTGTGTGAGGAATGGTTCCAGGGCGAGAGCGAACAGAAGCGGCGAGAGGGGGCACCCCTGTCGCGTGCCGTTGTGTATGGTAAAGGTCTCAGTCAGCGCCCCGTTAACTAACACCTGGGCCGTCGGTGCTCGGTATAGCGCCTCTATCCAGCGTCAGGTGTGGGGACCCAGCCCTATGTGGGATAGCGTCTAGAAGAGGTAGTCCCAGCTCACTCTATCGAAGGCCTTCTCTGCGTCCGTGGACAACAAGAGGAGGCCTCCGTCCGTGCCCCCACCTCCGTGCATAAGTGTGAGCGCTCTGATGGTGTTGTCGCGCGCCTCGCGTCCTGTCACAAATCCCACCTGGTCAGGGTGGATCAGAGATGGGATATGTTTGGTGAGGCGCACCGCCAGGATCTTGGCCAGTAGCTTAATGTCGCAATTGATTAGCGATATTGGTCTGTAATTCCCGCAATGCTCTCTGTCTTTGCCGTCCTTGGGTATGATGGTGATATGGGCTGTTAGGGCTTGGGTAGGGATGTGGTCTCCTTCTCGTATCGCGTTAAATGCTTCCACCATGGGTGGGTAAAGATCTTCGGCGTAAGTCTTATAGTATTTTACCGGTAAGCCATCCGGCCCCGGGCTTTTGCCCGGTTTAGTGAGTTTGACTGCTTGCGCTAATTCCTCAACGGTTATGGGTTCGTCAACCAGGTCAGCGACTTCTGCGTCTAGGGTCGGTATCGGGTATTTAGTCAGGTAGTCCTGAATCGAGCGGCTAAGGTGTGCCTTAGCCAGTTCGGTTGTCGGTTGTGGAAGTTCGTATAGCTCAGTGTAGTATGTACGGATCGCTCTCATGATATCAGTCGGGAGACGGTGTAGGGTCCCCTGTTTGTCTCTGATCTTGTCGATGTATGTGTGCTGTCTCTGTTTCCTCAGCATCGTAGCGAGGAGCTTGCCACTCTTGTTCCCATGTAGGGTGAAGAAGGCCTTGTTTCTAAGTGCCTCCCTGTGGTGTTTGGAATGCAGTATGGTCGCTAGGTCCCTCCTCAGTTGTAGGAGTCGGGTCTGGTGTGTGTGGTCTGGGTCGCGTTTGTTTTGTTCGTCCGTTTTGTGTATATCGTCTAGTAGGACGGTCAGTCGGGCTTCGGTTTGTTTTTTTAGTATTGCCCCCTGTTGGATATAGTGACCTCTTTTCACACTTTTGTGTGCCTCCCAGCGTATCGTCAGCGATGTCTGCTCTGTCGTATTGGTGGCAAGGTACTCTCTGATTTTATCGCCTATGAGGGTCGTGACTCCCGGGTGGGAGAGTAGGTATTCATTGAGTCTCCATTTCGGGGATGTGGGGCGGAATAGTGGTGACTTTATTTTGAGGGAGACAGGGGCATGGTCCGACCATGTGGGTGTTCCGATCCCGACGTCAGTTACCAATGAAAGGTCGTAGTGCGGGGTGTATATGTGGTCGATGCGGGAGTATGAGTTGTGCGGATGGGAATAGAAAGTGAAGTCTCGAGCGTCTGGGTGGTGGGCCCTCCAGCAGTCGACCAGTCGGTGGTCCCGGAGTAGGGATTTGATGCCTTGCAGTTGTTGGTTGGGGATATGTGAGGTGCCCGTTGAAGTGTCCCATGACGGTTCTAATGCAACATTAAAGTCACCCCCCAGTATGAGAGTCCCTTCTTTGAACGCCTGGTGCTTGTGGAGTGTTTGTTTGAGGTGTCGTGTGTTTGGGGCGTATATGGTTGCGAACGTGTACTGACGGCCTGCTATTTCCCCCTTGAGGAATAGGTACCTGCCTTCGTCGTCCGACAAGCAGCCCCCCTCCCAGAACGGCACCCTCTTATGGAAAAGTATTGCTGTCCCCCTAGCTTTCCCCCCGTGGTAGTCACTGTAGTATCCTTGTGTGTAGTGTTGGTTTGTTAGTTTGGGTCTGGCCCCTTTCTGAAAGTGTGTTTCCTGCAACATGACTATCGAGGCCCTTTGTTTATGAAAGTCTCTCAGTGCTCCTGATCTCTTCTCTGGTTTGTTCAGGCCTTTGGCATTGATCGTGAGAATATGCAGCGGGGCGGGAGTCAGTGTCATGTCGTCTGGTCAGTCGGCTGTTGGTTAGTGCTGTATGGGTGTCGTTGTCCAAGTCCCTGCTGTGTGTGTGTACCCGGTATGGCCTGTTCGTCGTGGTCAGTTTGAGGACAAGGTGTCAGGGTTTAAGGTGGGGTAGAGAGAGGGGTAAGGTATCGTGGGATTCGTGGAGATTCCCTGTGATCTCCAGTGGATGTGTTCCGGTCTCGGGACCGTTAGGTGTAGACGTCGGGGAGTCTCAATCCACGGTGCCACCAGTGGCTCCCGTGAGTGACTCACCGTCTGAGTGACGTCTCTCCTACTGGGCAGTGGTAGGGTGTATCGGTGTCGGTCTTCCGTGCGGCAAGTCGGGTCCCATGTCGCCCCTTTTTGGCTCCCGGATGCTACCTCAATGGAATGTGATGGTCTTCCCCGCCTCGGGGTGTGTCCCTCATATCGCCGTCGTTCTTCACTGTGAAGGAGCCGGTGCTTGTGGTGACTTGTATGCCAGTGGGGAAGTTCCAGCGATGCCTGATCTTGTTGGCTTGTAGTGTGCGTGTAAAAGGGCGCATGGCCCATCGGTATGCCAGGGTCGCTGGAGATAGGTCCGGATATAGTTGTAGTTCCGCGCCGTGATGAAGGATTTGTTTTTTATCCCTAGCGCTCTTCAGGATGTCTTCCTTCACTTGAAAGTGTAGTAAACAGCATATCACGTCCCTTGGGGGGGACTCCGGTGGGCCTCTGGGTCTGAGGGCTCTGTGTGCCCTAACAAAATCAGTAGGCGTCGTGTTCGGCCGCTGTAGGAGGGAATTGAAGAGTTCCGTGAGGGAATCTCGTATTGGGGTTATCTGGTCAAGTTCCTCAGGCAGGCCCCTGATTCTGATATTCTGCCGCCTCCCCCTGTTATCGAGGTCTTCCATGTGGAGGGCCATTTGGCGCAGTTGTATCGTCTGCCGCTGTATTACGTTTGCGGTGGCGTTTTGTGCTGATGTCACGTGGTCACAGTCTGCCTCCAACAATGCTAGCTTATGGTATAGCCCCTGCATGTCCTCCCTTAAGGCATGGAGTTCGCCTGTTATGGACTTGTGAAGGGCGGCATTTGCCTCTTTAAGGTCAGCTTTCGTGGGTAGGTTGCTCAATAGGGATGCCCAGTCCAGCTGGGATGGGGGTAGGTCAGGTGTAAGATGTACCTGTTCATGGTGTGTGCTGCCTGGTGAAGCCGGCCAGGCCCGAGGCCTCCGAGTCACTAGAGGCCTGAGAAACGTGATCCGCCTGGGTCAGGAGGTATTGTCTCATGCCCGGTGTCTGGGACCCCCTCGGAGTGTTGGCGGTCGCTGCCGCTTGCTGTTGCCGGTTTGTTTTGCCCATTTTGCGGTGTGTGGGGCTAGTGAGGCGGGTAATAGTGCAGAGCCTGCAGGGAGCTTCTGGTTCACGCCGCCATTCCGATCAGCGTCCAAGCCACGCCCCTATTTTATTAATTTTAAATATTTTATAAATTATATATTTAGCTGGGGTGGGTGGAAGTTAATGGGGGACTTGGTGTTAGGCTAGCTAGGGGTTAACGTTACAAAAAGTTTTACAATAAGCTTTAAAAAAACGTTTTAAAAATGTTTTGTTTAGGTTAAAAAAAATACCACCCCCCCCCTTACCCAGTCCAAATAAAAATTAACCCCTTCCCTGCCAGTTGATCACTGCCTACAGTGATCAAAATACACATTACAGTATTATACTGTAAAAAAAGTTAGTTTAAAACGTGAGAAGTTAAAAAAACAACAACAAAAAACAAAAGTTTAAAAAAAATTTATTTTTATTTTTTAAAGGAAAAGTGTTACAAAGTAAAAAAAAAAGCTCATTACCACTACACTTGGAACATACTAGCGAAAAAATTATCCCAAGCTAAGGTTCAAAATATGCCTTTTAAATGACCCCATGGTGTATTCTTTAATAAATAGTATGTGTTTGTGGGGAAGTTTGAATAACCAGCCTGCTAAAATACTCTAAAATGGGACATGTACACAGCAAAAAAATTCAAAGTTTGGGAAAAAAAACTGGAATGGCTGTGTCTCAAATTGGCCACTTCAATGTCCACATATACCTGGCAAAGGTACATGTGGGGGCATTGCTGTACTTAGCCGACATAGCTGAGCAACATATGAAGTATTATACAGTTGTAGCACACATGGTTTGCAAAATATACTGTGCAAACTTTGTGTGTCAAAAAGGCAGAAACAAATGCTTATTACCACTACACTTGGTACAAGCTAGCGGAAAAATTATCCCACGCTAAGGTTTAAAACATGCCTTTTTCAAATACCCTGGGATGTTTTCTTTAAGAAATGGTATGCATTTATGGTGTAGTTGAAATATGTAGCCTGCTCAAGTGCTCCAGAGTGGGACACGGACGCATCAAAACCTCTACGAAAATTCATACTTAAAAACCTGAACTTGTCATGTCTCTTTTACAGCTCTGTAACTTCACAAAATAGTGTCTGGGTCATACATTGGGCATATTGTCTTACTCAGAAGATATAACTGAGCATAATTTGGGGATTTTTATGACTGGTACATATCAAGTGTAAGAAATACTCAGCAAAAATGCAACATATATGTAAAAATGCCATTTTCCCCCCTCACCACAAACATTGGCATAAATTGGTGAAAAAATGGTGACACATTAAGGCACAATATACACCATATAAGATACCCTGGGGTGTCTGCTTTATCAGATGAAAGCCCTTTGTGGGTTATTTGAACAGTCACACTGCTATAATGCCCTAAAATGAGACGTAGGCCTGTAAAATCCATCTACGAAAATTCCAACTATAGAAACTGAAATAGCCTTGTCTCTTATATGGCATTGTAGCTTTACAGAAAAGTGCCAAAGGCATACAATGGGGTATCGTTATACTCAGCAGATGTAGCTGAACAAAATATGGGGTTCTGTGCAGGAATAGCACACACCAGCTTTACAAAATACACATTTTTTTGTCACACCTGATCCAAATCTCCCCTCCCAGAGAGATTGCACTGATTCCCTGTTGCCTTCAACATCTGCGTCGCCAAAAGGGCACGTTGGTAATTGTGACTCCCTTATGGCCATCACAACCATGGTTACCCCATCGATTGAAAATGGGGATAGAATTTCCCTGCCTCCTCGCATCATACGATTCTCTCCTTCAGGATCCGGACTGACAATCTCACCCATTAATCCTCCATGGTCTCCTTCGACTTCTGGCGTGGGTGGTTTCAGGGGACCCTGGTCAATAAAGGGTGTTCTCGACTTCTCAGACTTCTCGAGAATGCATGGGCACCCGGCACGAGACAAGGTTATAAATCTGCTTGGAATGCATGGAATGACTGTTGCTTGGCAAGAAACCTGGATCCCTTATTGGCGCCTTTGACAGCCATCTTACAATTTTGACCTCCCTTTTGAAGCAGGGAAAGCGTACATCATGGTTAACCTTTACCATTCTGCGCTTTCCGCTGGACATCAAAGCATCGATGGTGCCCCCATCGGACGACATCCTTTTGTCTTTTGCCTATTGCACGGAGTACGATTTTCTCGCCCTCTGCTACCTTGTTACTCTACACTCTGGGATGTTTCTCTTGTCCTCCATTTTCTAATGTCATGGCCGGATAATACTTTCTTATCCCTCAAACAACTGTCAGCAAAACTGGTCATGCTTTTCTGCCTCATTTCATGCAAAAGAGTCTTGGATATACGAGCTCTAGGCAGAAGCTCGATCCTTTACACAGGAAGGCGTACTCTTCGATATTTCTAAAAGGACCAAAATCTCTTCTAAGTCAGTACTATATCCAGCGTTTCCGTAGAAGCCTCTCCTGTGCCCAGTGGCTTGCCTACGGGAATACGAACTCTGTACAGCTTCGCTCTGGAATTCTATGAGACCTCCATTATTTATCTCTTTCCGCAAACCACACCTTTCAGTATCTTCTCCTTCTTTGGCAGATGGGTCAAATGAATTATGACATTGGTAGGCATTGATACTTCCATATTCTCTCCACATTCTGTTCGAGGAGCTATGGCCTCTAAAGCCTCTGCGGTAGGATGCCGACTAGACTATTCTACGAGCTGCCGATTGGTCTTCGGAATCCACATTTCATGATTTTTACTTCAAACAGATTGAACACTTTGCTACGGTTATGTAACAGCTTTAAACCAGCATAATAGGAACCTCTGTGTCTTAATAAAATTACCAGATTTCACTATTTACATGACATAAAGTCATGATTTTATTAACGACACGGAGGAGAGTATTATGGGGGGGAATCTAGGGGGGTTCTAAAGTCCTCCTCTAGAGTCTGTTACTGATTGGGTAAAACTCGATCACATGACAAAGAAGCCCTATAGGAATGCATTGATTTATTTTTTATTTATTTATTTTATGGGAAAATTTTAAATGTACGTGCGACGCACATTAGGTCCACATTAGTGGGAGAGCCCTGCTAATCAGCACCTATGAAATTTGTGCGAAGAATTTCACACTCTGACTCCCCCCATTTGCTAAACTACAACTTCCATGATTATTTGTCTATTAGTTGTATTCAAAGAAATCTGGTAGCTGTAGATGATTTTGGGGGGGCTAATTTTCAGATCCCTGTCTTTGTGTTTTTATACCAATAACCTCACTGAAATAGAGAAGCCATACTTTTCTACCATTTTAGCTTTCACGAATTCTTACTAAATAGTGCAGTATGAATACGTCAGTATTTTATAGTGTATATCTTAAATGACAGGGATTACAGTGATATATACAAACACAGCATTGTATACCAGTTACCTTGATGAACTCCTCTTCATGGAATAAAACCAACTCTTGCATGAACGGGCTTATCACATCACATGACTCCACCCATTGTACTTAACCCCTACATTATGGAACATAAACCTGTCATTCAAGACTTAATGCCACTCGAATAAAAGTAATCTCCCTGCACGAGTAGTGACTCAGACACTAATGGAAAAAAGTTTGCAGAGCAGCACACCATGTCACTCAGGTCACTGA